GGCTTCCGCCTGGTGGGCGGCAAGGACTTCAGCGCCCCGCTCGCCATCTCGCGGGTGAGTCCCCTCCCGCGGGTCCGTCCCCTGCGCGAGCCTGGCTGCGCGGGCGTGGGTGCAGGCACGCGTGGGGCCGTCGGTGGCCGGGATCCCGCAGGGCTGCAAGGGCTGCCAGCCCGCTCCAGCTCCAGCTCCAGCTCCAGCTCCAGGCACCCGCCAGCAAAAGCCAGCTCTTTGTTTGCACTCGTTTGTTAACTAGAGAAAAGTATGAAAACACTTTCCCTATAGCAATAAAATCCGACTTTTTTTTTTCCCCCCTGTAGCAATAAAATCCGACTTTTTTTTTTCCCCCTGTAGCAATACGGTCCTATTGCAAAGAACTCAGAAAGACCACAAGTGGTCAGAATTTTTTTTTAATGCTGTTTTTACCATGGTTTGTAATTGCTGGGTTTACCTCATGAATCGTATTTGCACACCGAACCGTTGGGGGGCATCCCGCAGCCCCCCGGAAAGCATCAGAAGGGAACTCGGGGTGCTACAGCACCTTCTTTCTTCCTTTCTTTCTCTCTCTCTTTTAAAGCCAGGTCCTAATGATTAGTTTCTTGGTTGAGGTCTGAGAAAGTGAAGCAGTATCATGTTTTCACCTGATAAGGGGAGGATAGCTCTGCCTTTCCTGATTCACGTGATGGAGGCACAAAGAAAGTGACTTTTGACAGCTTGGCTGGCGAACTCGCTGTGTTGTGCCAAACTTTCACCCTCTGCTACGCTTTCAAAGCCTGTTTATTCAAATGGGGTTTCAAGGATATGAGTCGGGGCCAAAATTTACCCTGTGTGTATTGCAGGCTGAAATATTATATGTTGCATAGCTGAACTCAGATCGATTCATCACCTTGGCTGTTGTCCAAATGTAGGGTTTAATTTTCTGTAATAAAAGTCTGGCCTTCTGGGTCAAATGCATTTGGGAAGAGCATTTGTGTCCAATATTATGATAAAGCTATTCTTTTTGCGATGAGGAGGTTGATGTGGGATGCTGTCTACACATGTACAGTAGCATTACAAATGGATTTTTTCCTTCTGTATTTAGCATTACGTCAAGCAATCTTTTTTGAATTAGCACAGTTGGATGTTAACTATCTTATGTATTCTAGTCTCCTTTTCCCCGTGGGCAGTTTTACTTCAGTTAGCATATTTTAGTAAACTATGTAATACATTTTAAAATTGAATAATAGAATAATGTATAAAATATGGTTGTCAGCAGTGGCAATGGAAATAGCTAGGGGCAGTTTGAGAAGCATAGCATCAGTGGAAAAAAAACGTATTTTTGAACTCTTCGTTGTCTTTCAAATTCAATATTAAAGGTAAGTTTGTAAAGTATTAACATGTAGGACTGGTATAAGTGAAATCAAAGTTTCTAATCACAGGAAATCCTATTGTGCTCAGTATCTTGAAGAAGAAACCTCTTTAAAAATTTTTTTTAATACATTTGACACATGATATTAACAATTATGTAATTCTTGTTTCAAGTTTTTACCTGTAGAAAACTGTCCTGTGCTCTGCTCCGGATGGAGTGGCACAGAGGTTAGATCCAACTCTTACTAAGGAAAATGCAAGCAAAGTTAATGAGATTGTGTGGGACCCAACACACTGTCTTATCAAGTACACACTTATGTATAGTCCCACACAAGTATATTTTAGAAATCACTGTTGAAATACTGCTGCTAACTAGTTTTCGTGCACATATTCTTAAATCCTTAAAAATGGAATGTATGCAAGTAAGCAATGTGATGGCCTGAGTATGATTCTTGTTCAGTTTGCCACCTATTTAGCTCAGTCCTGCAAGACTCATAGTGCTCTGGGTTACCAACACTGAAATCGGTGGGAGCTGCGAGCGGGCAGGCGTTCTGACCCCCTACAGGATAGACCCTCTTCTGGTCTTGCCAGGATCTTTTCATGTGGTTGTGTGCTTAGTAGTAAATGTTGTATCGAGACTCATAGGCATAGTGAGGAGAAACGATGGTCCCACCTTTACACACGTGTCGGCCGTCTCTTCCCTCACTAGTAGCAGCTGCTGCCGAAGGGGATCAGCGGGTACACTGAGCTTGACAGATAACTATGGAAATGGATCTTGTTTGTCTGGGCTTTTTTGTGGGAGGTGATTTGATGTTGTTTTTAAGAACCACTTAATTTGCAATCAGTAACCCCTGCCTTCAAACTTACAAAGCTTTACATATTTGCTTTTATTGTTTGTTATCAGCTGTTTGTTTGGGTTTTCAAACCCTGAAAAAACACTGTGGGCTGGTGAATAGCAGGGATCTGGGTTTTCCATTTCCTATGGAAAAATGCAGATTTTCCCTTTTTAAAGGAGAAAAATCTCATATTTTTCTCCTTTAAAGTGGGAAACTGTGGGTTTCCCCTTGCAAGCTGGCAGTGTTCCAGCCTGCAAGGAATTGTCTGGGGCTCAGGGGAGTGGGGAGAGGGCAGTTGGAGGCATGGAGCACCACATGTGTGTGCGCATGTACACACACATGACTGGTATACAGCCAGGCAGGGTGGTGGGAGCATCCTTGGCCCTGGATACAGGTAAGTCTATGGGGCAAGGGGGTTGGAGGGCCAGGGCTGGGGGACTGTCCAGGCTGGGGGGCTGTGTGTGGACAGGGCTGTGTGTGCGTGCCTGTGGGTGCTTGCCAGCGCTGGGGGCAGGAGTCTGGGTGCTGGGGCTGCAGTGGGGAAGGGGGTCTGAGGCAGCACTTGGTGCTGTTGGCAAGCCCAGCTTGGCATTGTTACCAACAGGGCCTGCCTGGAGGTGCCTGTCCCTCCAGCAGGGAAGGGGGCAGTGGAGGGGAGCTTTCGGGGGCAGCAGGGAATTGTGTGGCTGGAAGCACAAGCAGCAGCTGGGACCCCACACGCTGCCCACTGTGGCTGGGGCTGGGGCTGGGGCTGAGGCGCAGTGGGGAGGACTGGAAGCGCAGCTCTGGCCTGGGCCATGCTGTGGGCAGCTGGAGGAAGGTGAAGGGCTCCAGGCACTCTCAGTCCTTACTGTGGTAGCCGTGGTCACTCCTCATGCGGGAAGTGGCAGAGCAAATCCAGTCCAGATGCGGGCTGAAGGGAGGAGGAAGGGATGCTAGTGACACCGCCCTGTCCCAGGCTGGGGCTTCCACACTGCACCAGGCAGCCTGGCCACAGTGCGCCCACCCCTGGGTAGCATCTCCAGGCTGCATGCGGCCGCCCCTACCTCTGAAAGCATGGGCACTGGCCCCTGGCGGCCTGGCCATGCAGATCCCTGCTGCCCCAAAAGACCCACTGCCCCCAAAGGGTCCCCTGTCCCCTTCCCCTGCTGGAGTCTTGTGAGTCCACGCAGGGCCAGCTGGGGGTCCCCTCGGGCCAGGGCCTGTGGGTCAGGAGTGAGGGGCACTAGCGGGGCAGTGGGAGTGGGGGATTGTGGTTTGGGAGTGAGGGCATCAGCAGCATCAGGGGGCTGTGGGTGAGGAGCAGGGGCACCAGCACCACAGGGGGGGGCACAGCTGCAGCTGGACCTGTGTCCTGGTGAGCAAAGGGGGAAGGGGGAGCGCTGATCTTCCAATACCAATAAAATTTTGTGTTCAACCTGCCCCTCCCCACTCCCCTCCCCCCTTACCCCCGGGCTTAGTTGGCTAACTCTGTATCGCATGTAACCTAGTTGCGTTCCCAACCTCACCCCCATCCTTCTATTGTTAGTCCCTCGCCCGGGCATTATGTATTTCCCTACCGGCTTTGTCATCTTTTTTGGATTTACCATCCTTACCATCTACTAATAAAAGTCAATCTGTGTGTGTGTGTGTAACCACAGAAAAATGCAGATTTGGGGGATTTTTATGAGAGAATTTGTGATTTTTGAATTGGAGAATCCCTTGTGAATAGCAATTGTCTGGGTTTTGACTGTTGCTGATGAGGAATGAATAAACATCTCGGATAGTCATCTGTTAAACATACACTGCACATGCCCTGAGAAGTAGTTGCCCTGCAGGCATCAATTCAGATTGCATGTAGTTTAGGAAGTCAGCTAGCTTCCCCCTCCCACCTTCCCGCATTTATTGTGTAGTTTATCACCACTAAGCATGTAATCATCTCTTAGCATTCATAAAATGTTTCTGTTGTGAAGACAAAGAAGCTCACATTAGGGAGCAAAGTCTACTTTGTTACTTTGAGACTGTGGTGTTCCTGTGTTGAAGTAGGAAAACCCATAAAACCTGACTTTGTGCAGGCAGCTGGTTTTCCAAAATCTGATCTGATTCAACAAATATAGGAGCTGTGATTGGTTTATTCACCTCACGCAGCACCAATAATTTACTTTTTTCATGAAGAGGAACACATGCAACGAGTAACTTCATGGTATTGTCTCTTGTTTATGATGCCTGGTGTGTGCCCTAAATATCCAAGCTTGCATGGTGTTGAACTCTGCACTGTCAAAGTGAACGTGCAGGGTGCTCAGCAGCTTGCAGGATTAGGCCCTAAAATATCAGCACTAAAAGAGGCATTATTGCTTTTGGGAATAATATCTGAAAATGGTCCAAGAAGGATTTAACCCACGCATTTGGTTGAATGGAGAGATTAACTTTGTAGCAGGCTGTACTAGGATGTGGATGCTAGACTCTAGAGCTTAGATGTGTATGAATTGCTGCGCTCTCTATTGAGGTGTCTTAGACAGTTGTTGTACTTGGGCAGATTTAATAGGATGCTTTCAGATCAAACTGGGCTGCACAGTAAGACTTAGTGGAGATAAGCTTTTATGAAACCAAAGGGCAGTGAAAATGCCCCTATGTTATCCCCTCCCTTTTGAAATTTCTGTGGAAAGCATGTGGTTTTGGTGTTGTTTTTTTTTTCCCTCGGCCAAAATATTACAACATTCTGCTCAGACAAGGGAATAGATTACATTTAATTTATTAAACTGAACTGACTGCTAAGGAAAAATGAAACTAGTATACTTCCTTATCCTAAAAGAGAGGACCAGAACCAAAGAACAATGCACATTACCTAAAATGCTTAGGTGGACTTCACTGCAGTCCAAGAAACCCCTGTTTAGT